AATTGTGTTTGCATACTCCAATCACATCCCTTTACATTCTTGCAACTCGAATGCTTTACTTTACGATGTCCATATACTCTTGACATGCTTGCTTGAAATGTATTGTGGATGTTTAAACTTGTGCTAAAACTCCACCTTAACTTGAAGAAATTAAAAACTGCTACTTTTCTTCGTTGAGGGTCTAATCACCCCCCCCCCCTCCTAGACACCTCTTCTCGATCCTACACCCATGTAGGGTAGTGGTGGCCATTGAGGGCGAATGCCTCAAACTCTATAGCCATGTGTTACCTCTATGGGTAAACTAGAGATAGTTAATTTACAACCAATAAATTAAATACCATCATGGTTGATGTTGTAATGAACTTAGGAAAATCAATGGGTATTTCAAGAAGTTGTCTTGAAACCATTAGTGTGAATCTCAAATTGCTAAATATGACACCTTGAAGATAATCTCCAAAATGGAGTAGTTCTCGCAACACTAGAGAGTATAATCTGATGAAATCAGTAGATACTCACTCGTAATGCCTTATGTCATGATTTAGTAAAATGTGTGGGAGAACACTTTGTAAATCAATTATAATGACAAAATATAGTCTTTAACAGTAGTGATGATAATCTGCAAAGTAGTAGATCTACACACTACCTTGTGATCCCAATACATCAATTTGAAGAAATCACTAAAAAATTGCATATCAATTTTGCTCGTATTGAGCCAACAGGCTCAATTAAGATGAATTGATTTTTATTTGCAAGAAATTAGAGTCTTAATTACAAATAATGGATGTATAATCTCAACATGTAGAATAACATGGAAATATATTACATCATAGTTTATTCTGGAATACAATGTACTCAATAGATACACACTACTATTGTAATGAATAGTAGTGATGTTGCAAATTTGATGCTCAAGTGAAAAACTTGAATTGTACACACATCAAATTAAATAAGATGATCTTGTATCAAATTGCAAGATAATTCAGCGGGGTGAATTAATATGTTGCGAGAGAAAATTGATCTCAATCGCAATGAGATTGTTTTGCGAGAAAATATATATTTCTCAATGGCAAACCAATATTGTTGTGCGAGAAAATTTAATCTCAATCGCAAAATAATGTCGGTGTATTGCAATAGCAATCACATTTCACCACACACATTTCTGAAATTTTATAACTTAACAGAAAATGGGTTAAATGCGTATACATGGTCTAAAGATGACAAGTGCTAGTGAATAGCACTACTTTGACCATGTTGAATTATCCGGAAACGTACAGGAATTAGTGGAAACTCGCAAGAGATGAGGTTTTCCCTGGTTTCTCTCTCACTCCGTGCGGTTACTGACCGGAAGTCGTAACCGCCGCCGACGGGACGAGGACACACATGGCGCGTGCCGGGAGGACTTGCTCGCCAGAAGAGAGGATCGCCGCCGCCAACCATGGCTGGCCTAGGGCGCCACCATGCCACACGAGGGCTGAGGTCTCGGGCACAGTCGGCACGTGTATGTGAGCGGCGACAGGTGGCGTCGCCGCGGGAGCGGCCGTTGCGCGGGCAGCCATGGGCTTCCGCCGCTGGTCAGCGGGAAATCTCCGCGCGGTAGGAATTGCTGCGTTGCCGCCAATTCCTTAGGCATACGTGCCACGGGAAACCCCGGAGGACGCCTCACGTCGAACTCGGACCTCGCTGAGCGTCGGGGCGGGCTGCCTGCCGGAGGAAGAGCCTCGTCTCCGCCAAGGTCCCGCTGGGATGAGAAGTATCGCGTTGGGCCGGGTACCGCGCCGTCGGGGTCCGCCACTCGCCAGACCACGCACAGCGCGCTGCACCAAAGAGAGACCTCTGTAGGAGAGAGCGCAGACATGAGCAGTCGTGCGCCATGGGGTGACCCACGCTGTAGCCGAGGCCGAGGGTGCGTCACCGAGCGTGCGCCCGAGGGAGCCGCGGTAGGTCGATGCCCATTACCGGCATGATAGAGGCGCGGCTGCACCTCAGGCATCTGTGCCGCGTCAAGCTGGGCTGAGGGCCATGGCTCTGCAAGGAGGACCGGGGCGAGGCCGTAGTCGTCGTTCCCCATGGTGCCGCGGCGCACCAGTCGGTCGAAGGAAGGAGCACTGCGCAAGGGCGCCTCCTCCGTTCGTCGTTTGCCCTGCCATCGGAATGGGGAGCAGCGGCCGGTTGGCCGCCGCTTGCCAGGGGCACGGCTCCGTCGCGTTCGATCGCCGTCCCGATCAACAACGATGGAGAAAAGTATGCAATGCGTCGGTTTATCCGCTCAAACAAGTACGCACTGAACATGCTTATAGCCAATCAATCAATAAATTAAATTAAAGAGTTAAATACACTACATGTGCAACTTGTCCAACATGGTCAGTTTGATGTCTAAATTTGAAAAATACACAAAAATGGTGTCGTAACTTGTCTGGTCATTCAAATACGGTGCTTCTGGACGTATGCCGCTGTATCGAGTGCCCGCACGGTATGCGATTGTGTCGCTGGGCCACATGTCAGTTGTTGTAGGCGCTGGGCGCGCCGTGAGCTATGCGTGTTTTTTTATAGGAATGCCCTTGGATTTTAATTAATTCACGCAAAAAATACCTCTTCATTTTAATTAACACTTGCAAAAAAATATCAAGAAGAGAGCCAACGTATGCCCTTGGTCCGCTTGTTTGTTAGTCAACCAGGAGGTCTGTGGTTCGAATTCTCTTCAGGCAATCTTGTGTTTATACTTTTGTGAAAGTTAATTAAAGTACAGACGTGTTCTCCTAAAAAAATAAGCGTGTGTCCAGCGCCCGCAACGATTTTTTTTAGAATTAACTGAAGTCTAGGGGTATTTTTATAAAAACTACATGCACAACTCACAACATGTCCGCAACAACTGACATGTGGCCTAGCGACACGCTGGCATGCCAGACGGGCACTTGATACGACGGTATACATTCAGAGGCACCGTATTTGAATGCCTAGACAAGTTACGGCACCACTTTTATGTATTTTTCAAGTTTAGGCACTAAACTGACCGTGCCAGACAAGTTAGGGCATCTATAGTGTATTTAACTCTAAATTAAATGAGTGCATATGCAAACCGGACGATGGTCGATCCACGTTGATTGATTCTCATTCAGTGTGTTTGTAGGTCACGATGGTGTTGAAGTTCTCCATCAACGGCCCAAGCTATCGGTCTCTGAGAGATCATCCGTGCTCCCGTTGATCTTCAAGGCAACGTCGGGCGATGGGCGGTCGCGTCCTCACCACCGGAAGGCATCGTCGTAAGCGCTGGATGGAAACCATGTTTCTTGGAGGCCTCTTCTATCTTTTCTTCCCTGTGCGTCCAAGTCGCTCTCGGCAGAGTGTGCTGATAATGTGTTGCAAAGTAAAACGAGAGAATCCTTGTTCTCATTGATGATGGAATTACATAAACATATATATAACCCCTGAAGGGTGTCACCAAAAAGATGTGAGGCAACCGTCTCAATTAGGAAAAACGGGGATTAATAAGATTAATTAAATTCTAACCGTAGCCTATAGGGACCATGGCCCCTCAGCCTTAACAAAAATTGGAAGAAATTTTTGAAGGGTGCTTGGAGTACAAAAAATATACACTTTGCCACCCCCCCCCCAAATGCCTAGACAAATTATGGCACCACTTTTATATATTTTTCAAGTTTAGGCACTAAACTGACCGCGCCAGACAAGTTAGGGCATCTATAGTGTATTTAACTCTAAATTAAATGAGTGCATATGCAAACCGGACGACGGTCGATCCACGTTGATTGATTCTCATTCAGTGTGTTTGTAGGTCACGATGGTGTTGAAGTTCTCCATCAACGGCCCAAGCTATCAGTCTCTGAGAGATCATCCGTGCTCCTGTTGATCTTCAAGGCAACATCGGGCGATGGGCGGTTGCGTCCTCGCCGCCGAAAGGCATCATCGTAAGCGCTGGATGGAAACCATGTTTCTTGGAGGCCTCTTCTATCTTTTCTTCCCTGTGCGTCCAAATCGCTCTCGGCACAGTATGCTGATAATGTGTTGCAAAGTAAAACGAGAGAATCCTTGTTCTCATTGATGATGGAACTACATAAACATATATATATATATATATATATATAGCCTCTAAAGGGTGTCACCAAAAAGATGTGAGGCAACCGTCTCAATTAGGAAAAACGGGAATTAATAGGATTAATTAAATTCTAACCGTAGCCTACAGGGACCATGGCCCCTCAGCCTTAATAAAAGTTGGAAGAAATTTTTGAAGGGGTGCTTGGA